ACATGTCTCCTTATGGTTGAAAATGCTAGTAAACATTAGCTAGCCCTGCTACATGGACAGCTAGTCGAGTTACTCAACCACAGGCCACAGGGCTCACTGATTCCCCAGCTGTCAATCATCACACCGCCCGTTTGACAGATCACCAAATACCCCCCTTTGACAGCTTACCTAAATAAATAAAAAAATATACTTTTAAGAAGCCTCACCTGTAGAACAACCTCAACGTCGTACGAGTTCCCTTTGCTCTTCTGGTGGCCCCTGAACCTGGAGCCGCTGTACAGAAGCGAGGTGACAACACCGGGCTGCTGGGTGTTTATCGGCGGCGGGGGGATAAGCGAGGCCGAGGATGAGAAGGCCGCGGCGGGGCTGAGGTATCCAGCGGGGACAGGCATGGCTCCCGGTCGCTGGCTTGGGCACCGACCGCAGTCGATTGCCGTCTTAGCGATGGACTCTGTCGTTGTCTACGGAGAGGACTAAAGAGGTCCAACAACATTCAAATCAACCCCCGATCCCTCCACAATTTAGTTTACCAGGCGCTTCCAGAAAAGTAAGTGGACTTCGACGCGGCACCGTAGCCAGCAGAATCGGGCGCTCTCATTGGCCAACTGAATTCCCCTTGGTAACATCCTCAACGCTCATTGGTTCGACGTGCGGAAGGCTTTATGGGAATATTTGAGTGTAGTTTGTTCCAGAAGTACTACGGTGATTTGAAGTACTTATAAAACTACATTTCCCAACTGTGATATATTTTTTTCGCTGTCTTACTAGTAACAGAAGGTCACACGCATCATGCTTTTGAACGAAGGAGCTGCAAAGGAAGAAATACGAAGCAGTGAATAGAGACATCACTTTATACAGATAGCCAAAACATTATCAACAAGAACTGCTGCTAATTTGCATTCATATTCACTCGTTTAAAATGTGGCATTTCATTCATTGACGAACTGCGGTCAGAAACGGGTAGTAGCTTAGCCTGTCAGCTAGCATTTCATAATAACATTGCATTTTAACATAACTGCAAATATGTTTAGGCGGCTTGTTAGACTTCAGGGTCCGCTCGGAAATATCCTCTCTCCAGATAAAGTGTGCCCAAGAAATCAGCAGCTTCGGTGTGCTGTGAATTATTCCTCAGCCTTAGTTGGTAAGATGCATTCATTCAATGTTGATTAAAATCTGCTGCAGCAATACATTGTATAACTTAACCTTATGTGATGATTTCTGCTGCTTACAGAAAAAAGAAGATTTTATAAAGATGTCAGTATATCCCAAAGTGAAGGTAAGTCAAACAGAGTATGATAGTTATTTGATTGAGAATACTAAGTTAGATGGTGTAGAAACAACCAGTCTCCACTGTTACATGTGTTTCTCCTAGGTGTCTTTGTTGGTGAAAAGAGCACTTTTAATCATTTAATGCTTTTGATATGAAGCAAGCCACTTAAGTCCATGCTATGCTTTACTCCTGCCTCTCTAACATTGTTTTCACTTTCATTAAGGTGGTCTATATGAGGTAAACCTAGACAGAAGGAAATTAAAAACTCCTGGAGGAAAGCTGTTCACAGCACCAAATGAAGCCATGGCCATCGCTGTGGCAACCGAGTGGGATGCTCAAAAGGACACACTGAAGTACTACACAATGCACCTGGTACGACTTTGACTGGGAACTAGAAGGGGGTTTAAAGTGTCTTCCTCATTGGATCAGAGCCCAATTGAGTGTTTCTTGATATTCTTGTGTTGTTTTTTTCAATTACATACATTATGCATTTGGGACTCCTTCAATGCTATTGAAAAATATGCAATGTGTTGATTTACATGTCATGATAAGTTGAAGGTTAATGTGCGAATGTGAGAAGAATTTGAGACCAGAAAACTAGCTCTAGGTGACACTCGATAGTTTTTGAAGATGTATGAGAAGCCTTCATTTAGTGTATTGACGCAGACACATTTTTGCCATGGTTTTTAGTTGTTTTTTCTACTCCTAAGACGATATGTTCAGTTAAAAACGTAATTGACTGAAAGAGTAATGTTGTAAATTCTTCCCGCAGACTACACTTTGCAACACAGCTCTGGACAATCCTACCCATCGTACCAAGGAGCAAATGATCAGCGCTGCCCTGAAGTTCCTGGAAACTGATACTGTCTGGTAAACAACTTATTTAATTATTCCATTTTGCTACATATTGCTTCTAGGGATAACAAGTTTTTTATAAATCACTTATACAGCTGGAGCTAGTGTCAACACTCTAGATTTACCGTCAGTATAGCCATACATGCATGTAATGACTGCTTTAGATGGACCATTCTGCCATTTAATCCTTGACTTGATTCCTTCTCAAGATGTGCTGTCCTGCATTCTGAATAGCTTGTTGACTTTACCTGTTTTTGGTTATTTGCAGAAGTTCTTGGTAAATTGTTTAAAGTGCGACCCTTTCAGTTGTGGATTGAAAAGTGAATGGTGTTTATGTTTTGTGCAGTTACAGAGTAGATGAGCCCCACAGTTTGGTTGAGCTGCAGAAGAATGAGTGGGACCCTGTGCTGCACTGGATTGAAAACAGGTAACGGCAGCATTCGTTTTGGTAGTAGAAAAGGCACATACAGTGATACAAACCTTGTTAATTAGGCTATTGTAATACACTTTTTCTAATTGTCTTTATCTTTTACTCTATTGCAGATATAATGTCACTATTGGATCCTCGTCCAATATTTTGGGTCCTGAGATTCCAAAGGAAACAAAAGACACGTTTCGGCAACACCTGAAGTCTTACAACTTCTGGTCCATGACAGGTAAAACAACTGATCCGACATAAGCATTTTTAACTATAGAGCGCTGCACAGATGGTATATCTTTCTAGGCCAACCTAAAAGATGGCCTCGCGCTAATTCAAAACATAAAGCCAGTGGGATTTCTTTTTCACCAGATTTTGGATAATAGCAGAAAGTAACTAATTCAAACAGCTGTCTTGGAAGCAGCCAACTTTTTAAAGACATGTTAATACTTCAAATTCAAGTTTGGGGTATTCTGTATTTCTTACAACGCTACCAACGTAGAAAGTTACCAAATGTCTTGATTTTCAAACTCATTCCCGCAGCACTCTTATCTGCTCTTTTGTTTAGATGATTTACCTGTAGTGCTAAATATTATCTTTCATACTTTGCTGACAACGTATCTAAGGAAGATACTTAAGGTGTTTGTAAAACATGTGAAATAATTGTGATATTACGTACATTTGCTTTGGTAATGAGTATTATAATAAGCTTTTAAAGTATATTTGAGCTATACAGTAATATGGTTTCTCCTGTGCAGGGCTTGAGTTTGTGATCACCCAGCTGAAGTCTGTTGTCCTGGCGATCGGGGTGATTGACAGACATCTGAGTGTGGAACAGGCTGTGCTGCTCTCCAGACTGGAGGAGGAATACCAGGTAGGAGGGTAGCAGATTACAATTTGCAACCACATTTTTTTATTCAGCGTTGTTTACCATATTTCTTTACTAACCATAAACAAATGAGACCTTGTGAACCTATCTTATGACCGTGATATTGTCATTGCTAGTGTTTCTGACAATCCTGAAAAATCCCATCACTTCTCTTGCTATTACAGTCCTTTCTTCTGCAGTAAAAGTTTTAAGTGGATCAATTGAAGAGCAGTTGGAAGTGTTTTTTTTTCTCTTTGCCAACCCCATCTGTTTTTACAAGAAACTCAAAAGGTTTGCTTGCTTTTTTTCCGGAAGAACGGCGCCCTCTTCTGTTTTTGTTTTTAACATTTTACCCATGAACCCTACGCTGGTAGCAGTTATAATTTGTTCTATCTTTTACAGCTGTATAAAGTTGCTTCAGTGTAACAATGAAGAAACACTAAGGATGACATGGTGCTTGTCCTGCAGAGAGTCTTATTATTTTCTGTACAGTCAGCTTACATTTTTTCCCCCTCCTGCACAGATAAAATACTGGGGAAACGTGGAGTGGGCCCATGACTACGAAAGTTATGAGCTGAGGGCACGGACTGCTGCTGGAGCTCTTTTTGTTCACCTCTCATCTGAGAGTTCAACTGTCAAACGCAAACTTATGCAGAATTGAAAAGTGTGTGCCCTTAAACTGAGAACACCTCAGTTTATCCATTCAGACAAACACACATACACCCTGCTTGTTCTGTTTAGCAGCTGCTGTGTCTGATCTGTTATAGAGTCATCTCACTCCAGTGAAAACATTGGCTATCTTTCTGCAGTGTTTATACGTGGCAGCTGCCAAGTGTGCCACCCCTCACCGAGTTTCCAGCCGGTTCTCAGTCGCCCGTGACATTTTGGGCACTGCGCATGGTTTCAGGAGGATAATGACTAATGCTGTTGTCTATTTGGTGGATGAATGTTAACTCCATGTCTGCCTTCTGCCTGCCACATTTTAATACTGCAAAGTGCATATGCTATTGTAATAGGAGCAACAGATGGAACATACTGCATTCCAATTATTTTCTGTGATTTAAATTTATTCATGTTTTAGGTATTTTGTTTTTTTTGTGGTAACTAATGAGGTAAAAGATCATGTACATGGATTAGTATCATCTCCACTTCACAGTTCTGTTTCTTCAAAAAGTAGTATTTAAGCAGAAAAGTATATTTTCTGCATCCTCATACAGTAGTCATGTTCACATACAGTGCTGATGGTGTTGTTGCTCTCCCGACTGGAAATAAATTCAAAGAATGACTTGTTTGTCTGTGCCCTTTCCACCTATTGTAAGCAAAATGTCAGTAAACTTTATTGTGAATTAAAACCCAAACAATTCAAAAGACTTGTAGATGTCTGTCATTAATGTGCATATTCAATGTCTTTATCATTTCGAGTGCTACGGTCATAAAAAAGCAATTTCATTGGTATTGATGCAACCTTTACTGCTTTTTATTTACAATTAACCCAACTGTCATGATGGATGTTCTAACCGTCCAATCACACTAAAGGTCAGGATCTCTTAGCCAATGACGTTGCTCTATGGGCGGGACTTAAGGGACGTTTTCTCGTTCCTCATGTATCATCATCCCATGGACTGACTTGTTTGTTGTCGAGCAAGATGGAGTTCCTATTGGGAAATCCTTACAGTACCCCTGTGGGGCATTGCATTGGTATGTAAACCAGATGTTTAGGAAGCGACAACTCGCAAAGGTTGATAATTATGTCCTGGAAATGTGTATTATGTTGTGCGGTAGTCATTAGGCGTTACGGCTAGCTACATTTAGCATGCTAAGGTCTCTGAATGAGTTACAGCTGTACCGTTAGCCGCCTAGCTAACTAACGTTGGTAGTTGACCGTATCATGTGTTGTCATTGTGCTAGCGATACCTACACATACTTAATGTCTGTTTTCTTTCAGTATATACTCGTATATTCACTGTTAACAACAATAACGAAGTCAATAACCTAAAGGAGGACTGTAAGCTACGTTAGCTTAAGCTAGCTAGCCGCTTGTCACCGCCTTATAATTGGTCTGCTGTGTTTACCTTAGTCGTCCTTAAAGGTTATTCTTTCGTAATTGACTACTTGTCTGTACTTGTCCAGAGAGAGCTACTGATGGCTCTCTGCAAAATGAAGACTGGACCCTTAATATGGAAATATGTGACCTCATCAATGAAACAGAGGATGGGTGAGTACCATGGGAAAGCAAATCAATGAATATTCTAATGTTATTGTTTAACTCTCTTCTTATATGCACAGGTGCGGTTCTGTCTTCCTTGATCCTATGCTGTTGATATACTACATTGCTGTAGAAAGACATGATATTAAAGTATTTTCTTAATATGTGTCCTAAGAGAAGAAGCCCTGGCTTTGTAAAGTGGATTTATGTCAGGCCTCAGTGCTTATCTCACTCCTCCATTAACCTTGTACTGGATGTTTGAGCTGGCCAGGTACTGTTTGAATAGTAGGTTGTAAACTGCCTTAGGTGGTTCTAGTCTAATGCAGTGGACCATACAGTATATCAGCAGTCTATAAAAAGATGTCTGACTCTACTGTGTTTCTTCTCTCTGGGGAATGTAAGGGGTGTGATTCGCACACTCCGTTTTGATTTGATAACAGTGGTGAAATAATCCAAAAGTTAATTATTACTATCATAGAGATTAACAGACACATTGTCAATATTGCAGAGAATGTAACAAAAAGTCAAAGAATCATTGATATGTTGTTTTGCCTGGTATTTGCGGTTTTATTGTTGTGTCAATCATCCTATCATGGCTATTTACAAATGCCATTTAAGCCCACACCCATTATGTTTTTGGCAGGCATCTGTGCTCTGCTTTGAATGACTTACCAATAATGTAAAACATGTGGTAATCCTTTTATTCCAGTGTGTTAAAGATGTGCTTTTCTGTTTGTGTCTGCAGGCCAAAAGATGCCATTAGAGCAGTGAAGAAGAGGTTGAATGGCAACAGGAACTATCGGGAAGTGATGTTGACTTTAACGGTGAGTGGGCGAGAGGAAGCTTTATTTACATGTTACAGTAATACAAGTATTCATGTTGTCTTGTGCTCTAATGCCAAAGTTCACAGAGAATTTGCAATCCAAAATATAATTCCATTGTATTTCTGCAACACTCGGCCACACGAAGTGATTAATAAATGATTCTCTTCTGCATCCATCAGGTCCTGGAAACGGGTGTGAAGAACTGCGGCCATCGTTTTCATGCATTGATCACTAGCAGGGACTTTGTGGATGGCGTTCTAGTTAAAATAATCTCTCCTAAAAACAACCCACCTACAATCGTACAAGACAAAGTACTCGCGCTGATTCAGGTAAGATAACGTTTAGGTGGCTTGTGTGTAGGTAGGTTTGTTGCCTTGTGTTGTACATGTCATAAAGCTTATAGGCTGGTATCTCTGAGTAAGTCAGTTATTGAGAGGTTTAGTCAGGTTTGCATTGAAGGTGTTTAGTAAAGTGTGTGTGTGTGTGTGCGTCATGTCATCCCCAGGCAGAGCCTCAGGTAAAGTACTGTGTCATCAGGGCTTCTGCCAGGAGCCGCTCTAGTTACCTGTCAGGGCTCGGGTTACGCTGCAGGCTCATGTGAGCTGCTCTTATTTCCACCAGGGGAACCATGTGACTACAGCTTAGCATGGATCCAGGAGGGAGGGTGGGGGGGGGCGGCACAACAGTAGCTGTGAGACAGAGGAGAGGAGCTAATTGTTTCTTGTTTGTCTCATCATTAGGAGGTTCAGCTGGGAAACTGGTGTTAGAAAATGTACCGAACAGCAGTGTTCCCTTAACCCTTAGATGCCCTTAGAGCAGTGGTTCTCAAAGTGGGGGTCGCGCCCCCCCAGGGGGGCGCAGAGGCATGAAAGGGGGGGCGCGAGAGACCAGGAGAAAAAATGGTTATTAAAAAAAATTGTTTTATTTTTTTAAAAAATAAAATTTAAAAAAAATCATATTTTGAAAAATTATTGATTCGAAAACAATATGATACAGTACAGTACTATTACGTCTGGGTGTCTGTGTTTCATTAAAGCTCGGCTGTGTGTGTGAGTGGAACGAGCCATTTTGTGTGTGTGCGCGAGCGAGAGAGAGAGCGCACCGGTACCGGAGATCGTTGTTGTTAGCTTCTGGTGCTAGCGAGCTACGCTAACGGATATAAGGAGTTTTTTCAACAACAAAGTGGAGGAGAGTCCTCTCCTGTCAGACTGAGAGACTCAGTGAGCTAAAGGACTCTCTCAGTGTTATCTCAGTGGGTCTCAAACGTTTTGGTCACCATTAATATAAATAAATTAAAAACAATTATGAAATACTATATAACATTAAAAAATGTATAACGTTTAAAAGGGGAGTGATTTGTAAAATATCCATAAAGAAATAGTAAATCTGTTTACAGTTCTGTGTTGAGAGATGTATCCATACTGTAGATCTCTTCATTTTGCTCTCAAAGTGCACCAGATTGATGCTTTTAACTTCAATATTTAAAAATAAATCTTCCCGGGGGAGCTTGCCCCCGGACCCCCCTATGTGAGGTCCACAAACCACCTATAAAAATAGCACTTTACCCCTGCTTACATCTATATGCCGTGAGCTGATTATTGAGCCTTCATTGTAACAGTTGCTGGAACACTGTGTTTGTGTGGGGAGTGTTGCAGTAGAACATTCCTCTGTAGCGCCCGGTACATTAATGGGAAACCCTAAATGTTTGAGCACCCTCTATGAAACGTCAAGCTACCCCACAGCACCCCCAAAATAAATCTTTGGCGCCGCCACTGAGCTTGACTATTTGTGTTGGGGGGGGCCCGACTTTTTTTTTTCTCCAAAGGGGGGGCCTGACAGAAAAAGTTTGAGAACCACTGCCTTAGAGTGACTGGACCCTACACTCTTCCATAAGTGGGTCAAAAAGGACCCGTATTAGAATAATGTGTTTTTATGTCATTTTGGTCATTTTGGTTAAGAAAAATCACTTGTTTAATATTTAGTATTATATTTTGGTTCACACTACAAATATTTTTTTTTTTTTTTAATCCGTTTTTAGAATTTTATTTTTTGGAAATGCATGCGGGTCATTTTTGACCCACTTATGGAAGCTTGGGGTAGTAATACAAAGACTACAATTTCTCAAAATGTAAATTACAAATTTGAATGGCATGAAATCCAAAACATGTTTTTTGAGGAATAGCTGGAATATGAAATGATAAAAATGTTTAAAGATACTTCGAGAAAACCACCTCACCGGGTCAAAAAAGACCCACTTATGCATCTGAGGGTTAAGGCAAAAGTATTGTTAATAGGAGTGTGAATCCTTCAGTGTCTCACGGTTCAATTCAGTATATAAAAGTGCTAATTTCAAGATCTGCTTAGGTCTGCTTTGGGCAAATGATGTTATGAAAGCAGATTAAAGTGTGCATAAGATCATGGAATATATCAATTGATTGCAATAATGCAAACACACCAAAAGGCAACATTTATTCTTTTTAAACTTGCACTAATATACATATTTTTACTAAAAACATTCAAGAACAGCATTGAGTTCAAGTTATTCAAAGAATGAAAATACTGCCTGTTGCATAAATCTGCCTTTTCGTTCCTGGCCAATTTTCTAAACAATATTGTAAAACCTTTTGCGTATATTTTCAACTAACACATAATCGAGATTTTCCATTAATTCTATCCAGTTGTGCAGCAGACTGATGTTGTGTAGTTAGCTGTCTAACTACCCGTCTCATCTCTGAGGCGTTAATGTGTTACATTGGAAGTGTGCACTGTTAATATTCCTTATTTACGTTGATATATTCCATCAAATCAATTCCGTCTCCCACCATCTTTGGCTAGAATTGTTCACACTAAGTAGGGAAGCTGTGTTTTACATCAAAAAGGCTTTCAGTTGGGAGTGACTGAGTGGTAGAATTTCAGGTAAAGAACACCCTAAAAGTCTAAAAGCCCTTGTATTTTTCAAAAGTGCGTCATTTTTACCCATTGTAGTGGCTGAGTTTAGCTTTAACCTGCGTACTGGTTAGACAGAAAAACCAATAGCTTTGTGGTTTACTGAATGTGTTCAAGGGAAGGCAAACAAACAATAAGGATCAGAGGTCTCTTTAACAATTCAGTTCCCATGCTTTGTTTGCTTTGTCAGCCCTCCCTTAACCCCTTGTCTTTTTGTTCAGTCTTTCCTTTTAATTATTTTCTAATTCTCCCTACTCCAGGCATGGGCCGATGCGTTCAGGAGCAGTCCAGACCTCACAGGCGTGGTCCAGGTCTATGAGGAGCTAAAGAGGAAAGGCATTGAGTTCCCGCTGTCAGAGCTGGAGACCCTGTCCCCGATACACACACCTCAGAGGGTAGGAGGCATCACACTTAGATCTGTGCCGACGTTTCTGTGCAAAGTCCAAGAAAGTGAAGATAATCTTCCGAGGCATTTTATCACATGTGTTATCTCTTACTTCCTAGTTGGTATCTGCTCCAGAGGGAGACTCCACCCTCCATAAGTTCAGCTCCCCTCCTCAGCCCCCCCCACAGGTCGTCCCTCCGGCCTACATCGCCCCTCAGGTCCCAGTCCTTCAAGCCGCTGGATCCATCAATCCCACACCTGAACAGGTACACTGTTTCTCCCACAAACAGACTCAGTGTCAGTTCAGATAAGATATCTAATCCAGGGGGTCCGCGGGGTCTTATAAGTATTACAAGTTGATAAATCAATTTAGTGAAAATGAAGGCTATTAAAAAGTATTAAACGGCATTTTCCAAGGTATTACATTTTGTAGCTTGTTTTCAATAAGTATATAAATGGTCCAAAGAGGTTGTATTCTACAGTCTGCCTGAATGTAATCATTGCGTAGGTGTGTAGTGTGATTCCGTGTAGTTTATTGATGCCATCCCGTTGGGTTTGACGTCATCTGAACAGGACATCGCACGCTCACTGCTTGATAGCGCGAAGGTCCGTTTACACCGGTTGTTAAACATCGTTATGTGGAAATGCAAGTTTGCGTCCAAATGGTTGGAAGATAAGGAGGAAGGACAATCAATACTGTATATAGTCAATGTGAGGTAAAGTGTGTCGCCAAGGTAACCGGTTAGAACTCCAAGTGGCGATGAGGTCTTAAAATGTGTGGAAAGGGTCTTAAGAAAGGTCTTAAAAGGGATTACATTTGACTTCAGGATTCCTGCACATACCCTGGTATATAATATATAATACCTTGCTTTATTTTGTTATTGTTAATTTGTAAATTCAACATGTATATTTTCCGCTTTCTTAATTTCTTGTCTTTTAATTTGTATTGTATAATGCCATGTATTTTTATGCTGCTGCAACACAAACTGGATCAATAAAGTACTATCTTAACTTTTCTTATCTTATGAGGAATCACCCAATGGCAGCTTGCAGTGTCCTTTAAAATAAAAGGAATCATTTTAGGTATCTACTTTTGTGCAATGTTCTCCACCTGTCCAACCTGACCAAACTAAATGATTACATACTAAAGAGTTTGAATGCACTGCTGCAAAGTGACATTGCCCTCAGCCGACCTCTTTGCATCAGTGTTGCTAGGCTAAGCTTGTGTTTGTATTAATAATAGAAAGTGGAAGTTTAGACAACAGTGAACCCACTGCCTTTTAGCAAACCATTTCAACTGTTTATTCAGTACTTAGTTAGTACTTTAAGCTAACTATTTTAACTGTTAATTCATACATATAGGTTTACTATTTTCTCTGTTTATCGTTTACTTTTAACTTTATTAAACACATTTTAGCCGCTATTTAAACTTTTTATTTGTGACTTTTCAGCGTCTATTACTAATTATTTCTCACTCACTAGTTTAAATACACTCTTAATTTCTGTTGAGTCAGACTTGTGTTGGTCCGATTATGTAAGTTAACTAAAGACTTGTAAGCCTTTTTTTGCTTTGAATCGTGGTCCTTAGCACACTTTATTCAAAGCCAAATCTACATTATAAGTTGAATTAAGATGAGTTATTAGTTACGCTTTCAATGGTACTTCTGGTTTGGATTCCCTGTCTTAATGCAATACTGTTAATTTGATCTCTTAAACACCCGTTGCCTCTTTCACACAGATCTGCCGGCTGCGCAGTGAGCTGGACGTTGTGCGTGGAAACACTAAAGTGATGTCGGAGATGTTGACAGAGATGGTCCCGGGCCAGGAGGACGCTTCAGACTACGAGTTATTACAGGCAAGGAAACACTTGTGTGTGGGTCTACCTGTCCGTGTATGTGTGTGCGTTCTAAATTGTGCTTGAGCAAACCTATGGGAAAAGATTTGTCAGACATGTACAAAGCATTATGAAAATACTCATCTGAAACTACTATGCCTTTGTGTGTTTAGGAGCTGAACAGGACCTGTAGATCCATGCAGCAGAGGATAATGGAGCTCATCTCTTGTGTTTCCAATGAGTCAGTGACTGAAGAGCTGCTGCATGTCAACGATGACCTCAACAACATTTTCCTACGCTACGAAAGGTTAGAAAACAATCAAATCCAGGTGCAACTTTTGGAGAAAATACGTATGCACATTGAAACTCATCTTTACCCTGATATCGAATGTTTACTCAAATTTGGTAAGGTATATTTTTAGAGAGGTCTTTGTCATTTATTTTGCCTTTTCTTTGCCTCAGGTATGAGAGGTTTAGATGTGGAAGGTCCTCGGCTCAGAGCGCCAACAACGGGGTGAGTCAGCGTTAGTAACTCTGGTTAATAACACCCGATGGTTACATCACTAAAATACCGCGGTGTCTGAATCCTCCGAACAGTCCATTGTCTATTCTGTGCTTTTGTTTCCTCTCCCTCTGATGTTGGCCTCTTTCAGTGTCAGTAATGTGGACATGCATGTTACATTACCAGGCAGGCTTTACAATCTGCTCTTATCTGTCTGTTACCTATCGAGGATTTACCAGATCTACATGTCTGATTAAATGGAAACCAGACAAAGACATTTAGTTTCATAATAAAATACAAACACATATCTTTTTGGTATTCATTTTGATCTTCCACTGTTTTTCTACAACACAGTCGGAGCAGGCCATTTAAGTTCTGTCCTGTAGGGGGAAACCTTGACTATGGTAATACATTAGTTAAGAATATTAGATAAGAAAAGTTATTGCTCTTTGGGAAGTCCTGAAGTAGAGCTGGTTGTTTTTGTAAAGATCCACTCATGTTTGTGCCAGAATAAAGGCAATCAGCAGTCCTGCCGCAGCTTAGGAGCGCGGTGTTCGCCACAAGGGTTCTTTAAGATTTAGGACAAAAGACCAAGACCTGTTGAAAGCCCAGTACTTTCACATTTCACCAGATTAAGTTTAGGCTACTCTATTGATATTATTAATGGAAATACACGATTTGTAGAATTAGATTTCAGTGGTGGCTGCGTAGAATCGTTTTAGACTCCTATATTTCCCATAACTTTAAAGTACAAAAGTCTACAACATTCAATAAGTAAAGATAGATTTTCGTGTAGAGATATATTCTGCTTGAATCCATATTTACACACACACACACACGCACACACACACACACACACACACACACACACACACACACACACACACACACACACACACACACACAGCTCTTCATTGGGTTTCCAGTTCATCGGCCATGCTATATCTTCCATAGTTTCCATACCATTACATTGTGTCCCTGCACAGCATGCTAATGGTATTCACTGTCTCTTCCTGTGTTCTTCTGTTCTCCTGTTACTGTGGCTAGCTGAGACAGGCAAGTATGAAAATATTGTCCCTAAATGCCCAGCGTCACCCCCCCTCCCCACAACGAAACATGGCTAAATAATATGGGCCCCTCCTCCACCAGTAACCTTCACCCCCATATGGCATGTTTTGACTATGCAGCCCCCAAAGATATGAGGAAATCTAGGGATAAACTGATGGTGATACATTTTTAAAAAGGCACTGAAGCTATTGTTTCTCCTACTATTAGTGTCATGTTTTGCATTACATCAAACAGTCATGGTTTGGGTTTTGCAAAAATGTTCTAGATGTTTTTACTCCTCCACAGCCCACAGATTAAATCTCCCCTCCTACTACCTCACTGTACATCTACTTTCTTAAGGGGATTGTCTTTCTTTAAAGCACATTTAGGGACAACAAAATACCATTTAACAACATAACACTTTTAAAGCTTAAGCTCCCATGTCATGGCCATTTCTACTGATCATAATTCCATTGTTGAGGTCTACTAAAATAAATGTATATTTTGCAATTTTCCAAACTCACATTGGTTTCTCATACAGCATCTCTGTATAGTCTGTGTATTCACTCTCTGTCCTAAATGGCTTGTTGGAGCTCCTGCCCCCCCCCTGTGAGCCCAGTGGCCGTCTGCAAGACAGCAAGACACAGCGAAACCCAGCCCCAAACACACACACCCGCAGCCTGGCTGGGAGTTTGTGTGTGTGCCCAGGCTGAGTTCCTCGCCGACCCCACACCAGTGAGCCAGCTCACAGTCTCCCGCTCCTCGCAGCAGCGAGCCTCGCAACGTCCCGCCGAGTGTGTGTGTGTGAGGAAGTCCGCGGATTGGTCCAAACGTAACGGCTCCGCGGACGTTACGTTACGTCACTATACCCAAGAAGAAAACAATGGAAAAAGAGAAATGTCCAACGAGGCGTTCTGGGGCAGCACAGACAGGTCTTTTCTGTGTTAGAGTTTTACTCACTACAGGGTGTACTTTGAGGGTTTGTGACTCTGCAGACCGTTTACATGCAGAAAAACCTTCCTAGCACACAAGGGGACGGGTAATAACCAGAAAAGCATGACATGGGACCTTTAAGTCTAATGTCGAAAGCTATTCTTTGAATGCTCTTAAGAAACAGTACTTCAGAAAATAACTCCCCTGCTATCCTGAGTTAGACATTTTCATGCTCTCCTGAAGCTAACCATGTTTCACTTATTCACATCACGCACCCTCATCTTTTTACATTTCCTTTCCCCCGACACAGTCAATGAATCTGTGCTGTATAACCCTGCCTTTCCTTAGCTTCCCACACAAGGATTTGTTTTGCTGCTCTCTCTCATCCTCTGCCTTACGATAAGATAAGACTTTATTCACCCCGAAGGAAATTGTTGTGCCAAAGTTACAAAAATACAATAAACACAGCAGCACAATAATAATAAAACTGTACAGTAAAAAGAGCAATTCAATAACTACAGGAAACATAGACGGTCACAGAAGAAATGTAACTATTAACAGTATTAGTATTTAGACAGACAGAGAAATAAAATAGCATTAAAAAGTTAAAGAATATAAAATAAATGTGTAGTGCAAAAACGTTAGTGGTAGTTGCATGATTTCACGTTATTTATCGAACATTAATAATAATAATAATAATAATATTGCACATGTTATATAGCAGAGTGTTTTGTAATGGTATTTATATTGCACATAGGGGGGTGTGGAATTTCTCGAGGTTTTTTTAAACGAGAGCGACTCATCAGTTTCCTGTCCTTCAGGTCCTGAGCGAGGCGACGGAGGACAACCTGATCGACCTCGGCCCCGGCTCCCCGGCGGTGGTCAGCAACATACCCAACGTGCCCAACGCCCCCCCCACCAGCCTGCCCCCCTCCATCACCGCCCCCCCCAGGGAGACCCTCCTCTCCGGCCACCCTGGCCTCCCGCCTGGCCGGCCTCGGTGCGTACACTCACACACTCTGAGACGACACATATGACTTTCTGGGCAAAGTTTTAACGTTTTCTGTGGCATAATGAATGTTGTGGAGGTTTAGAAGCAAACATCATGCAGTGTTAGGTGGGTTCCGAGTAGTTAGAATAGAGTGGCGAAGTCCCGCCCATCTACTTCCGACCCATGGGACCTTATTTCGGAAAAATTATGTATTGAAGTCAATGGAGAGAGAAAGATTATCTTTCGATCCCGTTTGAATTGTGCCACGAATTACAAATATGATGTTTGTCAATCTTAACAAATCATTTCCATGTAAAAAAAGTCACAGTTTGTCGTAAAACTGTTGAAATATAAGACTATGAAAAATACGCAACTAGAAAGACTACAAATCCCAGAATCCCGGTCCCGCATGCTGGCTCTTACGGAACCGACTAACTCCCCTTGTGTGTATGTACAGCTCTCAACGTGCCCAGACTTGTAGTGATTTTCACCTCTTTTAATATTTTCCGCCTCATTCTGAAAGAAAGAAGTGAAATGTTCCAACGTGACGGCCATCTTGGTGTGTGGTGCGAGACGGGAGATGTAGTTCACTGAGCGGTTTCACACAAAAAAAAGGGTTGCTTCACAGTTTTACCACACATTTTTTATTTTCTTGACTTGCAAAAGTAACTTTTAAATTGACAAACATCATATGTGTAATTCGTGGCACAATTCAAACGGGATCAAAAGATAATCTTTCTCTCCCCATTGACTTCAATACATACCTTTTCCGAAATAAGTTCCCATGGAGCTCCCCCGGAACGGGAGGGACTTCGCCTCTCTATGGGATTTTAGTAGGAATTGCAACCGTGCTGGGGAGTATCAACCGGAAGTCTCACAAATATGACTTTCTTCTGCTACAACAAAGTGTAGTTGTCTAGAGTTATAAATGGCAGAAATTATACTTAAATCAATATATACATTAGAATACTGTATTTATCCTGGAGGTTATTGGACTGTTGCTTCATTTTAGAATGAAATAAAATAACAGATCAATAAAAATCTGAGTGAAAATATTTATATAAACATAAGTTCAAGTAATAATGTAGGATTAACAATTGAAAATAAGAGACATTCATTTAAACATTCTAAGAACACAAGAAAAGGAAGTAAAATGTGCAAACAAAGATAAAATAGAATACAAATATCACTTAAAAGTAAATTAGCCATTATTTTCATTATCAATAAATCATCAGTTTTTTTCCTACATTTATTGATTTATAGTCTCTGAGATTTGTAAACAATGTTCGTCCTAAATGATGTTTTTAAATGTCCAGTTTTATTCGATCAATCTGCTATTGAAAACAAAAAGCAGGACATCTCGATATTTTCCTAAAGACAGCCTTTTCAAGAAAAATAAAGCCTCAGTACAAACCTAAAAAAAGAATAGACAATTCTCTATTAAATGTGTTATTAATGCAGTTCAAGGCAATAAAGTGTGTGTTTCCTCCAGACATGGGAGCTGACAGTGTGAGCAGCACCCTGAGCTCTCTGTCCAGCTGTCAGCCGCCGGGTCAGGACGACTTCGACGTGTTCGCTCAGACCAGAACCGGAGCCAAGCCCGAACCACGCATCACGTAAGGACTTCAGAAATTCATCGTTAACTCTGTTTTCACATTTTAGGCAGAAGAGTTTAAAGTGTGTGCTGTTTGAGATACAGAGCCTGTGACACGGGTTTCTCCCATCATCCAAACCCATCAATTTGAGTAAATATTGTCCCCTTGAAACCGTTACTGAACTGATTTTGGATATTTGTACTTTCATAACCATTAATCTGCCCTTCAATGTTGACCATTTTCTGGATCTTCTCGGGGATTCTTCAAGTCCCGCCAAATTATGTGTGACGTCATTGCGGGCACAGCGCTCCAGCTGCACCGTTCAGGATCCCACCATCTGCATGTAAACGCACGATGGCGCACACAGCAGCAAGCTCAGACAGCGATGACAGTTTAATGTTGAACGTGTCTGAGAGCTCATATGAGGCTGAAGGATCGCTTTATGTTGCATCTGTTAGAAGTTTAGGAATTAGGTGCGTCAATATGGGCGATCATACGGTCATGTAGCCAGTGGTGGAATGGGACTAAAAATCATCCCGGGACTCTCGACCGGCCCACTTCGGTACCGGCCCATCGGGATTCGCCCCGATGGCCAGTCCGCCACTGCACCCAGCCCACGTAAACTGTCAACGGGGGAGCCTCGCTGCGGGGAAACGGTGGACCTAGTGTCCCGATCGGAGTGGGAATAATAATAATAATAATCCGTGCATTTTATCCATTAATTTCCCCAACATTGTGGTAAAAAAAACACACGTTTAATCCATGTTGGTGTACTACAACTACAAAAAGCATCGGTTTGTTTTCTCATCAGGAAATGCAGACCGGCACAAACAAACGATTTTTAATCATCATTCTCACGATCATTTAATCTATCATATGTTCGCCGAATTGACATGAAAGCACTAATACATGTAGTTTCATCCACTTGAGTTTACAACTACAAAAATAATCGATTTGTTTTTATATCACATCCTACGGGAGGAAATTCAGTAGCTCTCACTACCGATTTTTTTATCCTAATGTAATCATCATCTTCACCACGATCATTTATGTTTATGTTCGCCGAATTGACATGAAAGCACTGACAAATATGAATATACTGTAGTCAACTTCATTACAACGTTATTGACGTGCCTAAACTCAGTAATTCACCATTTCTACGCATGACAACACACTTTGTCCGTGTTTGGCTCTCTCGCTGCACAGTGAAGCGTTCCCGCATTGACGTCACTTCCGGCTTCCCCCAAAACTTCAAAATGAGTCGAAGGAATTTCCCCGCGATGTTCGAAATTATTGATATTTATCGGAACGGTATCGCTTTTTCTTTTTTAAACTGACGGTTCGAGATTACTAGTAGCCCAATATTTCATTGCACAACAGTTGTTGGGATGCTGTCACAGGCTCTTTAAAGGTCCCCTATTATACTGTTTTTCATCAATATATTATAGGTCTCAGATATATACAACACATGTCTCTGAAGTGTTTGGCTCCAAATACCAAACCTGCCCAAAGTGCTGATTCTCTGTCTGTTACTTTAGATGAAAATAAGGAGCCCCTCCCCACGCCCCTCTGAGAGACATTTGGTTAAAAAGAACACAATGGTGCTCTAGGAGGAGATTCAGGTGATAAGGTGGGTGGGGGGTGATTGGCTAATGGTTACACAAGCCAAAAAATCGTTATGACATCATAAAGTGGCCAAAATCTGATCAGCTCGTTTTCAGACAGGTTTTTATAGAAATGGACCAGGACAAAAAGAGAGAGAATCTTTGTTCCTGAAACTTTCAGAGTCTCTTTCCACAGAGGGGACACATGTTGATGTAGAAGAGACATGTTGATGTAGAAGAGACATGAAGAAGAGGGGACACATGTTGATGTAGAAGAGACATGAAGAAGAGGGGACACATGCTGATGTAGAAGAGACATGAAGAAGAGGGGACACATGTTGATGTAGAAGAGACATGAAGAAGAGGGGACACATGTTGATGTAGAAGAGACATGAAGAAGAGGGGACACATGTTGATGTAGAAGAGACATGAAGAAGAGGGGACACATGTTGATGTAGAAGAGACAGGAAGAAGAGGGGACACATGTTGATGTAGAAGAGACATGAAGAAGAGGGGACACATGTTGATGTAGAAGAGACATGAAGAAGAGGGGACACATGTTGATGTAGAAGAGACATGAAGAAGAGGGGACACATGTTGATGTAGAAGAGACATGAAGAAGAGGGGACACATGTTGATGTAGAAGAGACATGAAGAAGAGGGGACACATGTTGATGTAGAAGAGACAGGAAAAAGTGGATTTTGCATAATAGGGGACCTTTAAGTTTCTCTCGGAGGTCATTTTGAGGCTCAAATGTTCAGATTAATTTGTAAAAATAGATATTCAAACGATGATTCTAAAATCCACTCTTTACCTGTTTATCTCAGGACTACAGCAGAAGACAGCATCATCTCTGAAGACCCCCCCCCCAACTCTGGACGTGCAGCAGCCGACTGCAGGAGTGGTGAGTCTCAGTGACATGGGCTTTATGTCCAGCGTGGGCTTTAAATCTTACCGTGTGTTTTCAAAATCACACAAACAACATTTATTAGGATAAATAAAAACAGGTTTGAAATCATTCCAATGTATACTATAGGGCAGTAAACCAAAAATATCGTTTAAAGTTGGAGAGATACAAAAATATGCATAAATAAATATTAACTGGTAAAATAAGATATAAATGAACAACACAAATAAAATATTGGTTATGTTCACATACTTATTTGATTATTAAAATGTAAACTCATCTTCTTCATATGGGTGTTTTAGAGTTGTACCCCCTAGATCTAGTCTCTAGTAATTGTGTGCTCAAAGTGCACCAGATTGAAGCATTTTACTTTAAAATCTTCCTGAGGGGGCATACCCCCGGACCCCCCTAGAGGATGTGACGTCCACCCCCCAATTAAAACATGTTCATACAATACTGAATACATTTGAAGCCATTTTGATGTATACTACCTATGTCAATAAGTTTCTGTTTTTGTAGTGTATTTGTCTTTTGTAGAGATTTTTCATTTATTCTTTATATATAAAATCTCTTCTAGGGCAGCAAATTGTCTAGAACCGGCCCTGGCACTAGGCCTCAAGAGCCTTTCTTGTGCCTTCAGACACATAGAAACAAATTGGCGGGGCGGACTTTGCACGCGCACACACTAAAAAATCACATTATGCTGGGCCCACGTGCCTTAGCACCGCTGCTACGACTCCATCCTAGGGGAAACACTGGACACTAATGCTTTGACTTGTGCTACTAACCACAAAGTTGAAATAGAAACAGACACACTTGCTGCAACTTAATCATTATGAGCTAATGTTGATAACACAATCGAATGGCTTCAAAGAAGGGACATCATCTGCTCTGAGAGTGGATCGTATAAGCCTCTTTTCACCTTGCAATTCTGCTTGCCTTTGGGTATGATGAAGGTTTCATTTAACGGCACAGGAAATATGCGTCGACCGTTGCGCAAACAAATCAAAAAGATAACTTTTGTTTGGGAATCAGTCGCTGCATCGAGTACCAAAGAGGATCTATGTAAGCTATTTGCAGTTACCATCCCAAGTAGCGGAAATGACAGATGGTGGAAGTGAGTAAAAGAACATGCAGTGTGTCCCGTTCAGTTGGGATTAGCTTGGCAGTAATTGGGTTCCACGTGCCAAAAATAATATGATTTGTAGACTGGGCGGGAAAGAGATATCTTAAATATTCAGGCTTCATCTGGAGCTGTTGCATGTTTGTGCATGTATCTTTTAAGGTATTTTATTTAAGGATCTTAAGGGCTACTTATTTTGAGCTGTTTTGCAACCTTTACTAACAAGACTTTGCCCTGCTGTCACACCTGACACTTGAGCGTATAGTCTGTTTTTCATGAGCTCTGTGGGTCATTGACTGTGTGAAAAATGATGAAATAACCCAGGTGTTTACTGGCTGCATGGACCTGCTGTGCTGTCAGTTGCTCGCTATGCTCCTCATCACCAGCTCTATGTGGTTAAAGTGGATTCTCCTGCATATTAACTCCATTATCGTCACTGTGTGTGATGATCCACGCCATACAAACATCCCCATTTCTTTGTTTATTTTTCTCACAAAATACTTATGATTTAAAAAGTTCATTTAAGTCATATTTTCTGTTGTGTTCGGGGTGTTCCCCCCCCCCCCCCTCTCTCGATGCGGCCCCTCAGGGTGTCGGAGGCCAGTCCTCTGTCATGGATGACATAGAGGAGTGGCTGTGTACTGATGTGGTGAGCACATCATTATTATTATTTCTGCCTGCAGTTCTCTCTCCTCTCTGATTTATCCCCAACTTTTTCTAAACCCAGAACATAACGCATTCCTCCTCCATAACATTTCCTCACGTTTGACCAATCTCACTTTAATACGGTGGTTCAACCAAAGTCACCAGCATGTGTTGTGTGGAGACGAACTGACATGATGACATTGTGAAAAATGAGCATGAGGTCTTGAATGCAGATATGCACACAGCTTTCCCGCTAAAAGACTTTCACCATGAACATTTAATAATCTGGTTTAGTCTGACACTGAGATATCGTAACACACACTGAGTTGTTTCAAACTGATAATTAAAAAAATGATAATTCATGAGCTATAACACCTAGATAAAATGTGTCTTTTACTGTTTTTATTTTTAGTTGTGATCAAATATTTCTTGTTGCTCAATCTTTAACAAAGACTGAAGGCCACTTACTCATTAGTAAATGACTGAAGGTGCTAGCAGGAGATGAACTGTCTAAGAGAGCACATCTGAACCAAATAGTGTGATTAGCCTAAGCTTAAAACATGTATCATTTGGTGTTCGTGGTCCAGAAGGAGTGATCAGAATCACATTGTTACAGCAACATATGGAATAAGAGCCATGCACAACATTTTAAAGATGGAAAAATGCAAATTAAAATGTACAAAGTACACATCCAAGTGGATAACAATATTTAGCAGTATTTAAATATATATAAATAATTGCAGCATGAAGAAAGTAGTGGGAAAGCAGCCAGAAAGTAAAAGTATATTGTATTTATATATAAATATGAAGCATTGTAAGAGTTCATGCTCATTTCACACACATGTATGAGACTGTGTTGCCGTACTGATTACTAATAACACCCAGCTGGTGGATTTGATTTGGTATTCATTGATTTGAAGTGGTTCTGACAGGTAAGTGGCTCCTTGTAATGCAATCAAAAGTGGTAAGTGTGTGTTAAATAATACTACTACTAATACTAATGGCCACATGCACAGCTTGGTTTTGTTTGTGGTGGTTTCCAGAGGACTAACTTCAGCAAAGTGACTCCCAGCTGTGACAGTGGTGTTTTTATTTCCACAGAAAGGAGATGAAGGGGAAGAAGGCGTGACCAGCGAAGGTAAGACATCAGACATCTCCCTTTTCTCTCCAAGGCTGGGATCAAATAGTAGGGTCTCGTGACCTTTTCCTAACCTCTTTAACTCAGTGGAAAACATCATGGGGTTAAGGAAAGATGTGAAGGAGAATTCAGAAATGATTTCTCTCTTGTTTTGATGAATGTCTAAAATATGGAGCGTAATGTCATCATAAGTTAACAAAGAATATCAGGTCAAATGCTTGCATGGCTTAAATTGTTAAGTCATTCATACAAATATGGTAATGCGTGCTTATCAGGATGCATTTGATCCTGGAGAACCATGCTACTTTTTTAAAGTTTAAGTGGGCCTCTAGATTTTTACTTGTAAAATTCACACTTGACATATTTGATCAGTTTTGATTTGATATTAGCTTTTATAGGTTGTCAGTTTTGATAAGTTTATTTCTGTCTTTTGCACACACTTGTTCCTATAAGTTAATTTCTAAAAGCAGTTTTGTGTATATATATTTAGACATGAGTAGGATGTGTCTTTTTTGAATGTTGTTGTTGAAACTGTTGTTTATGGAGTCCCTAAGGGGACACGGACAAAACAAACAACAACATGGAGCCCTTCCTAAGTAAAAAAAAACACGACCGCCACCTTCAGTATTTTTCCTGCTCTGTTCCCACATCTCCTCTCTAATCCTCCTCCTCCTCCTCCTCCTCCTCCTCCTCCTCCTCCTCCTCCTCCTCCTCCTCCTCCTCCTCCTCCTCCTCCCAGAGTTCGATAAGTTCCTGGAGGAGCGAGCCAAAGCCTCGGAGATGATCCCCGGCCTCCCCTCGCCCCCCCGCGGCGAGCCGGGCGCAGCGCAGGGGACCCCGAGCCGCAAGAAACCAGACCGACCGGAGGACGCTCTGTTCGCCATGTAGACCTCTGACCCCCAGCCTAAAACCAGCCGAACAGCACCACCAAGGACAGACTGACCCGACTAAACACACCCACCTCCGCTCTGGTTATCACTCCTTAAAGAAAAGGGAATCGTTCATGCTGTTCATTTCCAAAACCAAACAAAGGCCTATTTTCCTACGCCACCAGAGGATGGAGACTGTGAGGCAGCGCGCTTTAATTCTCCTTCTTCTCTGTGTGTGAAGGATATCCCTCCGCCTGCTGTGGACTGCAGAGCTTCATGTCGCAGCTAACATTTTATAAAATCTGCTTTCCTTGTCACTCCAAGTAGGATGTCTTGCCCTCAAAGCATGCATTTAACCCCCCCCCAAATCATTTATAATTATAGAACCCCCCCCAGATAGGTCGTTATTGCCCACTGAGAGACATGATATTGTTTTGGTGTTTGTATCGGTCCCTTTGCAAGTCAGTCCGAGTTGTAAATCTGTAAATGACAAATGTCACGTTTATTAGTCGTGTGTATATTTAAGCTACAGATGTTTAAAAAGAGATGTTGATTTAATGTTGTTTTTGAAAGAGGGGTTTATCTTCCAGCTGCTCTGACATGAGGGATGTGCCTCGCGGGGTTTTTCAAAAGGGAAGAATATACATTTGATAATCTACTAAATTAATTTAAGAAGAAGGGAATGCCGTTTCTTCCTGATGGGCATGATTGCGCACCAAACCGACAAATGTGTCCTTTTACCCTCCTCTAAAATCACATGTTGTTGAGGTATTGACATTATTTTGGAGAGATTTTATTCACCTTAAGCTGCCGTCTTAATTTTTGCAGGGAGATAATTCAATCTGCTGAAAGAAATGCCGTTTAAATATTTCAGTTTTATCATTTTCTTTGCTGAGAAGTTGTCATGAGTTAAAGACACATGCTGTCATTTACTGTGGATTCATTAGATGTATGATTTATGGTTTAAAATTCAGTTTAGAGGATCAAAAAATGTGCTTTTTATTTTTGAATCAAGCTGGAAAACACTTTGATAATTAGGTTTAACTTTACATAACTGGTCCTCTCTTGGTCTGAGTTTAACACGCTGTATGAGAGTTCAGTATCACACTGCAAAAGCTGACACCTTCAAAGGACCTGACCTTTCCCCATGACATTTGTTTTCAGAAATGAGCCGGGCTGCGGAGCTACAAATGAGATATTTAACAACGATAAATACAATGTTACACAATCACGACAAGCTTAGAAACAAGCGTGTTACCTTTCAACCTGTACTGTAAATCAACAGATGTAATTAATAATAATGAGTTGGGAAATACTTTTGAGCAGAAGTGTAGAACTAATTTATTCAGCTCTTGTTTTTGTTGTCTTCGGATCATTTTATTGTGCAAAAGAAAAAGGGAGAGAATGAGGGATTGTCATAACGGCATGTGTTTTAGTGTTTATGTTAATAGAGTTTAATTGAAAATCATTTTTTATATATACATTGCTGCTGGCTAATGGTTCTTGATTATGTGAGTATTCTGTTAAAAAGGGCGGTGCGACACGGAGTCAATCACACTAATTATCACATGAAGAATACATATTTTTGGTGATTTCACTCACAGCGTTACCTATCCTGTAACAAAGCATCAACATTGCACATTTCTGAAAGGGACGCCTCAGTTCTCCCCGTTTGTTTTAGTGTTCAGTGTGTGCGTGTGATCTGTAACGCAGAAACATTTTATCTCAAAAAAAGACAAGAAGGAAGCCTCCAAATGTGTGTTTTAAAAAAAAAGAAATACATGTTGTTTCTCTCCTGTTTGACCTGGTTTCTATCCGTGTGAGCTCGTCAGTGATTTGTAACTGAATCTCAGCATCAGAACAAACCGTGTCTTTGTCCGTCGTGGACCTTACGAACAGAGATGCTGATACAAGAGGCCGTGCTGTGCGACTGCTGCTTTCTGCCTCATTTCTCCTTGTGTTGTTTGACTCCTGCATGAACTCTAATAAAACATTAGCATTGTGTCCGAACTCCTGCGTCTTCATTTTGTTTTCTGCAGTGCCACCTCTTCAGCCCTCTCCTTGGCATACCACCATGCCTCTTCAGATGGTAATATCTGAGGCTGACCTGCAGTAAACCCTCTCCTGAGGCCCCATGGGCCCCTCACCCTTTCCCCATTGGTCCTCAGGAATCGCCTCATCCCACAACATGGCCCCACACATTCAGCCTCGGTCACTGGAGCGTTTTCCCGGTCAAAAAGAGAGAGAGGGGTGTGTCTGTGGGACAGTAGAGCTCAGGAGCTGTTTCACTCACATGTGCTGCTTTTCAATCAGACCACAGTCATACTGCACAGAAGAGCTGCTGGACTCCTCAACAGGTAAATGAAATGCGTTTGTGTCCTCAAGGGAAATGTTCACTTTTCAAAATGTTAAAACAAAACTCAAAAATTGTGTTTGACTTCAATTCAAACACTTTTTGAGGGTTTTAAACCTTATTTATTTCTATTTTATATATATCAAAATTCTTCCTCTATGCAGGTTTTTTGGTTTATTTAAAAAAAAAAACAACATTTTTTAAAATTTAAATCGGAAGTAAAGAGGTCAAAAATGACACCATGATCCCTCTTGTCTTTTTGCCTTCCTCCTTTCATGTTTTTATTTGTAAAAAAAATGAATGATAGTAAATGCATAGTATTGGTAGAAGTCTTGTTGAATGTGGTACTAATTAAGAAAATCAGTCACGTTTCCCAGAGCTGTGCTGCTTGTGTGACCACAACTGCTGCTGTAAACACTTATCTGGACAAAAGATACATGTGATTTTAACGGTGTTTTTCTGTGCAGAGTTTAGTGACATATGGGACTCATTGTGTGCATGACATTAACCCTAACATCTCTACGTGTGTCGCAGAGGCGTGTTGGACCTGCAGGAACCGGCTCACAGAGGAGCAGAAACTCAAAGGGTCTACTTTTTCTCTGCCTCTACTCCCCAGATTGATTTCCCCCCGTGTTTGTGACTCTTTTATCCTCCAGCAGTGTGTTTGTTAGTTAGTGAGCGCTCCCTGGTGGTGGGACTACAGAGCTCACACGTGTCAAAGGTCAGATTGACCAGAAAAATGATTGTCCAACAGTTAGACCGCCAATACAACTAAGAGCTGTTTTCTATAGAAAGCAGGATGCAACAATTATGCAAATAATATTTTTGGTAGTGCTGTAAAATAACTATAATTTGCTATTTGATTAGGCAAAGCAAAGACATTTAATATAATTTATATATTATTTTAGATTATTTGTATGTATACATATTTAATGTACAGCTGTGTAAAAGAAGATCTAAAGTATATTCTCCACAACAACATCTGAATTGAATCCTCTGAAGAATGCACAGAGGGAGAAACTGGCCAGAGCTGTGGTGCATTGTAGTTGCATTGCATGTTGGGTAACTCAGTGCAATGGATCTGCTCTGCAACACAGAACTCGCTCATACAACAACAACTCAACCAACAACAACAACTCAAACAACAACTCAAACAAGTCAACCAACCAAAGTATCAAGACATGATCCATATTCTACAACTGATGTGACGTATCAAGTCGTTAAACTTACAAATACTATTGAAATACTATCTTTAGATAACTTATGCCTTAATGTATATGTATTTACTATACAGTGTTGTTATAAACCCATGTTTCGCAGGTACCTGTAATCAAACTACATTATAGTTTTAAACTGAGTGAATTCACTGCATCCTTCTTTTTCTTCTCTGTTTTCTCCTAGCCCCAGCTTGTATAGTATACTTTTGCAGTGATGGAAAGTCATTAAAAACTACAGTACTTTACTTGTATTTCTTTCTGCTTTTCATACCTCTACTCTTCTGGTAATGTTGTACCTTACACTCTATGCTTTTAGTGATAACATCGATGGTAACCAGTGATTTTGCAGATTTAATAACAGATTTAGGGGTACATTCACAAATTACCCAGCAATAAATGAAGTGTTTCGAATGTTGACTTCATCAGCTGTTACATTAACATCTTCACTTATTATTATACTGCAAAATAATAGATATATGTATAAAATTGACCATTCTGCATAATGACTACTTTCACATTTGTTATATTTTAATGCAAATACTGTACTTTTACTTCAGTTACATATTGAATAGGACATTTACTTCCACCATGCCTTTCATGTATATTGAAAGGTATTTCTGTAATGTTTGTGGTATTCTGCTGCAGCTGATATCAAACACAGGGTCAAAGGTCAGATCGTGACCCCTCTGGTGTCGAAACTATACCACAGGGGAAGTGTTTATCAAACGACAACTGACACATTTAAACAGATTTCTGAGTTATATTTTCATTTGAATGTCAAATTCCTGTTTCCCATTTGCTCTCTGGAATAAAACGCTCCTGGTATTCCTGGCAGGGATTCTCTCTAACAGGAGGAGTGTAAACACGCATCCAAACTGCCATTGATTGACATGCAATGTTGATTTCTCATTACACACACACACACACACACACACGAAGCCATTTCCAACATAATAGCATATTCCAGCTCTGAAGTGCATACTGGCTGTATACCTGTGTGTGTGTGTGTGTGTGTGTGTGTGTGTGTGTGTGTGTGTGTGTGTGTGTGTGTGTGTGTGTGTGTGTGTGTGTGTGTGTGTGTGTGTGTGTGTGTGTGTGTGTGTGTGTGTGTGTGTGTGTGTGTGTGTGTGTTAAATGCCTGTAGCTATTTCACTGTATTAGCTCGTAGCTGATATTGTCTTTACAGAGGATTGTCCTCCAACACAAAGACACAACGTGTGTTGGTTTGATGTAATGATAGTGATACAATATAACGGAGAACCATCAATAAATGCAAATGTTATTTTCACATGTCACTGGTAAAAGTCTGTTTCACCTTTATTTTGAAATTAATTTTATTTTGTAATTTATTCTTTTGTAATTTGTACATTTAGAAATGTAATTGTATTTTTATTGGATTTATCTGTATACTTATTATTATCTCTATATATTAATCATTTTAATATTTACTAATGTATTATTATTATTAATTTTGTTTTTGTTAGGTCCTATGTGAAGAAATATCCCATCTTTGTTCAAATGGAAAATTAAATTAAAAAACATCTGGAAAAATATTGTAAACAACAACAAAACACCTATATTTACCTCCTTCCCCCTAATCCTCACCACAGCCTGAGTGAAATCCAGTCGCTTAAACAAACACTCGAGATTAAATGACCTATTTGTGTTTATGATTTACTTTATATTAACGTCGCAGATCAATGCTTTCCCAATTTCCTCTACCTGTTTCCTGCCCTGAGCTGCACATTTAATGAGCCACACACACACACACACACACACACACACATACCATGTATGCATCACTTCAGGGGACATTACATTGACTTACATGCATTTCCTGGAGACTTATCCTAACCTTAACCATAACCAGCACATACCTAACCCTAACCCTTAACCTAACCCTAATCCTAAACCTAACCAAGTCTTCACCCTAAAATTAATGATTCCCCTCATGGGGACCTCCATTTTGTCCCCATAAGGGAGGTGAGTCCTCACACGTGACTGTGTAAACAGATGTAGGTCCCCACAAGTATAGTAATGCTAGGCCACACACACACACACACACACACACTGCAAATGAGAAAGATTACTGTGTGCATGATAATAACAAACAGAAGCATTAAGTAGGAATGAAATCAGACGTATTTATTTAATAGAGGTTCATTTGGACGCCAGTAGCTACACTCTCTCCGACGACATCAAGTGTGCATTGACTTTTCGGGCCTGACTGGCGCCTTGCTTTCTCTTCAGCTTTCCTCAAAAGACCCCCGTAGCCTCGGAGCACTTTATGCAAAGTTAATTTACCCAAATATATCATGGCGGCTGCAGCCCCCGCTATTCAACATCAACAACTTTGTTAATGGAAACTTGCTGATCCATAAACGCCGCCGTTCGCTGGGGGGCAGTTCACATATGAATGTTAAAAACCCTCAGATCGATGAGGGGCATTTGCAAAGGAGGCATAAGGTGTGTTTAATTATAACTGCGTCAGGAGGTGTGTGTGTGTTGTTGTCGGGGGAGGGGTTGCTGTTAAAGGCATGCAGGGGCCTCCGTATTTAAATAGGGTCACATCTCGGCCTCACCTTGCAAGTGTTATGCTTTATTAAATGCCACTCATGTTAAGTGCGTTGAAACCCTCCTCCGATGTAGTCAGACATAATATAAAGGTTACATTGAAAAATGTCCCTTCAGCGCCATGATTGATCTCCCGTGTACAGGCAGGGAAATGTGAGACCTCGTGTTACGTCTCTTCTAACTGTGTGAATACAGTGTGTATAATCAGGATTAGGATTTAAGTGTCAATCAATCAGGATTTCCAAAGGTCAATGAAAAAATTAAGGAAATGTTTGCAGAAGGGGGTGCGAAGGCTTTTTGTTGTACAGCAGACATTCATAGTGGCAGAAGCAGAGGTGTTATTGATATTTTTGTTTAAATTTGCACTCTAAAATATGCTATACGAGCTAGAAGACCTTCTCTATCTTTGTGAGAAACGTGTAGGTATCTTGTGGAACGATAATGTACATTTATTCGATTCCTTGGATTTATTAGATTAGATGCACAAAATGACACTCACGTATGTAAAGCACTTTGAATTGCTTATGTGTCTTAAAGTGTGCTTTACAAATAAACTAACCTTAAAAAAACATGTCTGTAAGCCCCCTGGTTTTTAAAGTGTAATCATGTGTATTACTTGCATTTCAAAAAATAACATTTGACACTTATTTTATGTTTAAATGCCTAAAATGTCGTGGTGATTTTGTTCTTTGCCTTTTAATTTTTTTGTATGACCAATTTCAATGCTTTCTCTCATTTAAGACATCACATTTACATTTGTTGCAAAGGTAAGGGTCTCCACTTTGAGAATATGAGCTGTGTACTTTGACAATCAGTATGTAGTGAATACTGTCAATAATGTGTTATGGATTTTGGACACGCTGCCATTGTGCCATCATTGATTTGTCAAAATGCCTCTGTAATAAAGGTCTGGTGCCAACTTAGTTACAAAAATGACTTGTGTTATTCCTCGTTGATAATGTACTTAGATATTAAAGTTTCATTGTTCAGAATATTTTAAGTGATGAGTTTAATACTGGGACATTTGTTTTCAGCAACTGTATTCATACACATCTTTTAAAAGCATCATAGATTTTTCAACGAGTGACAGAAAGAAGATGATTTTAAATGTCAAATAGACTTTACTTATATAGCACTTTTTCAGGTTTACATGCAACGAGTCATTCACACGTTCACACCTCATCCATGCAGAGCAGTACCACCTGTTCTATGGAACTAACACTCACACACACGCACACACACACACACACACACCACACACACACACACACACACACACACAACACTACACACACACACACAAACACACACACACTCACACACACACCCCGCTCACACACACACACGCACACACACACACACACACACACACACACACACACCGCAACACACCACACACACAACACACACACACCACACACACCACCACCCCTCACACACACACACACACACACACACACACACACACACACACACAAAAACCACACACACACACACACTCGCACACACACACACACAACACACACCACACACAAACACACACACACACACAACACACCACACACAACACAAACACACCACACACTCACACACACACACTCTCACACATACGCACACACACACCCACAACACACACACACGCACCGCACACACACACACACACAGACACACACACACACACACACACACACACCACACACCACACACACACTCGCACCACACCACCCAACACACCACACACACAACACACATACCACACACACACGCACACACACCACACACACACCACACACACACACTCACACACACACACACACACACACACACACACACACACACTCACACAACACACACACACACACATCACACACACACACACACACACACACACACACACACACACACACACACACACACACACACACACACACACACACACACACACACCGGTTCAGTATCTCGCCCAAGGATACATCGGCATGTTGACCGACCGGGCCAAAAAGGAAGTAATAGAAATTAATTTGTGGAAAACTAGTATTTGTATGTGTCTTAAAAAAATATTACAAATAATGACAGTCGGCAGAGGAGTCAGAATAAATACTTATTTTATGAAGAAAAACCCATCTCAACTTGTGATCATCTGACTCTAAATAATCCAATCATTTTTACAACATTCCAACACAGCATACTGTTTATAGAGAATAACCTAGTAGTCTATGTCAGCACTGCACACACAGTATAATGACAACATGAACGCTTCATCCTTCACATTTTATCTCCTGGATGTAGGGTTAGGGTTAGGTTCCTCTCCATCCCACTTACTGTACCTATAAATGTTCCTCCAAGTCAGTTTTAGAGTCCTCTCGTAGGGTTCCTCCTCTCTTTGGATGTCCTTGTGATACCTCCCAGTTGTGGACATAAAGGAGGAATGAGATTAGTCTCTGCTTCACCTACAGCAGGGGTGTCCAAACTACGACCCGGGAGCCATTTTGAATCGGCCCTCAGCTAATTCAAAAAGTATAATGAAACATGGCCCACAAATGAAACTTGTGCTTGTCTTGTATTTCTTAAACATAGATGCAAACACATATTACACAGTAGTATTCATATGTTACGAAGCCCACTTCAAATGCATTCAATCAGTTAAAGCTGAAAACAAATGTTAGTTGATAAAAAAAAGCCCAATAACTGATTTACATAACAAGCTTGAAATAAACTCTTCCTATTTCCTCTTATGATAAGCAATCTGAGGTTTCTGTTTTAAGGAATGAGCTGCTAACACAATAAATGAAACCCTCTGGAGAGCTGTGTTTTTTTTAAAGCATATTCAAACATTAAGCATAACTGACCTACATTTGATTGATTTTACTAACTGAACTTATGAGGCAATATACTTCGTCTTTAGAGA